TAGTAGGTGTGTGGTGTTCACTTCTCTACAGATTAATGTACTACAAGATCCTTCTTCTGAATGCTAACCTTTGGAAGCTCTACTTCTACCCAATTATTAGCACAAAGTTTCTTTAAATTAGTAAAGGTATCCAATACATCATCCACTTGCAGCATCATCATGTCCCAAAATCCACTTAGGTCAGAATCTTTAGTGGGGAAAGGTTCTGAAACATCCTGGTTCTGTAAATAAGTTAAAAATTACCGAAATTAACCCAGAACTTAAACATATCCTATGTTACTTTGTTCAGTATAAACAAGTTAATTCTAATAAAAAAAATGCTACAAACAGATCTAACCCTTATTACACAAGAACAAGCATCCATAACTAAAAACATCAGTAACTCCTACATCCACTCATTCAGCAGTATAACGATAAAAATAAGCCAAATATCTTTCTCAAAGGAGATAAAAAACTGACTCAATTAACAAATACCTTAACATTTATTTTCTAAACAATAACTTGATATATCTTTTGACAAAAAAAGTTGGAAATGCTAAGTTTAAAAGTTTTAGTTAATTTCATCTGTTTTAACTTACTAGATTCTTCTCGCATAATTCTCTGAACTGTTCAAACTTCTGCGAGAGCAGGAGATTCGCTTTTCCCACAGCTACACGAATCTTGCCTGCTCCCTCTTCTGGAACACCGTCCCCTTTCAGTTGTTTCTCTGCTTCAGTTATGCAGGACAGAATCTGCTCTTTTATTTTCTCCATATTAACAAGGAACCACTCGCCATCTATCTTCTCCTGCTCTAACGTTAAGCCTACAAATACGAACGTGTGATAATCTTAAATACTTCAAATACTGTACAAAGGATGCTGCTTATTTTCATTCTAAGACTGTAAAACGTTTTAAACTTCAAGTCAATAATCACTTAAAAGAACAGACATTGTGCGTTTCTCAGTCGATTTGATGTTTTTTTCAAACAACATATAAAAGTATTTTAAATACAAAGTAAAACGTTTAGTGGATTTGTTTCTGGTCTTAGCAGTTTTAAAAGGGAAATAAAATGTATCTTATTGTCATTTATTTAAATGTTAACATCTATATTTACCACTACGTCATACTACGTCAATACAACCAATGCTCGCTACAAGTAGAGATTTCTAATGATGACAATCCATAGTTGTTAATATACCTAAAAACTGACACTTGCATGGCTTTTTCTGTTCTTAACTTCAAATCTGTAATAATAATTGTCTTAACTGACAATAAATTAGTTACAGTCAGCACTTAAATAAAGGATGCATGGACTCAGTGTAGTTAGAAAAATTACCACCGGCATTTCAAAACAAGTTCATGTAGAAGAATTGATATTTAAAATTAGCTCAAGATTAGACAAAAAGATGCCTTCTGTTTTACATTTATTATTCTTCAAGTCTACAGTTGTTTTTTTTTACTCAAAGACACTACAGTACAGATTAGGTTTAGTATAACAACAGAAATAGTAAAATTATATTTTTAAGCCTACAGAAAACAAAACTATTTATGGTTTAAATTAAGTCACCTTCCACATGTCCATTATGCTTCGGAACAGTTGAGCGCTGAGAATCTATATGTTCTCCTTGAAGATTGGTACCAGGCTGAGGACACACACATTCTGTAACCGATAAATCACCATCACTGATATGTACATCCTGTGATATATATTTTTTCTGAGCTTTGGGTGAAGAATGTACAGGAATAATTGCTACTGATGGTGGCAACAAAGACCTGTCCATGGTTGCTAGTTGTTCTTTAAAGTCTTTGGTTAAGTATCGAAACACTGGAAGACTTTCTGAAAAATAAAAGAAATATAATCATAGCTTTCAACACCAGTTTCTACATTATTTTGAGTTACAGTTCTTGTTATTCTAATATTTTATCAACACTGGCAGAATTTGGTTGTGGACACTATGATTAGCAAAACTGTGCATTATACCATTCCTGCGATTATCCAATGAATTACCGAAGAATAACAAGGAAAAATAGAATGAACAGTATCCATTGCCAATTCCATTCAAAATTACCAGTTTTCCTTATCTGAATCCAAGTGACACTAGTAGAGTCATGAATCCAAGTGACACTAGTATAGTCATGAATCCAAGTGACACTAGTATAGTCATGAATCAAAGTGACACTAGTATAGTCATGAATCCAAGTGACACTAATATAGTCATGAATCCAAGTGACACTAATATAGTCATGAATCCAAGTGACACTAATATAGTCATGAATCCAAGTGACACTAATATAGTCATGAATCCAAGTGACACTAATATAGTTATGACTAACAAATACTGTCATCCTTTATTACATAAAATTTCTTAGGAAAAATAAAACTCCATTTTATTCATTCATTCACACCTGCCAAGATAATGGATTCATCCTAAAATTCAACATAGTCAACTGATCTTGGGACTACAACCAATCGTGAGACTCCACCATCTGAAATCTTTCGAACAGTATAGATCCATTGAAAAGTTGTGTACAAATGTAAGATACCTTACAAATTAACCTAAAAATAAACATTATGCTTTGTTTTTTTTAATGCATCACTCACTTGATTGAGCTGTAACTGTCCGAGGAAGAATAGACAGACTTCTTGGGTTTGTCCATGCATCATTTCTTTTTTCTTTTTTTGATGTTCTCCGAAATTCACCTTTCTCTCGATTTTCCTCCCGTTCCTGAGAAGCTATATTTTTATCTATTGTTTCAAGTCTTTGCCGAACTAGTGACCTAGAAGATAAATGACCATTCACACTGCTTGCACTAGAAGACGATGTCTCACCTATTTTTATCACGATATCACCTGCTGACTTGAAAGATGCTTGGGTGCTTATGCTGTTTTGCACAATGTACGTCTCCGAAGAAGACAGCAGAGTTTCATACAAAACAACGTTGTTTCTGTGCATGTTAGATTTTTTTTTTGTCAGAGCCACACAATTTTCTCTGAAGGCTCAGCTCAACATTCCCTACGTGAACTGCTATTACACACGTACGTTGGTGGATGTGGAACAGAACCACGTACTATTGGCTGACGGTGCTATCTTCAGTACTGAAAGAAATAAAACTTAAGTATGTATACTTCTTCCTAAATTCGATGTTCAAACAGCATCTAACACTAATAAACTATCATATATATAGATGTTGTTTTATGGAAGTTTCATTAAAGTACTAACAACTCATTTCTCAGGATTTATAGTATAAAAAATTAATTTCTAGCCTACCACATCATACTCCTGGCCCACCACACACAACATAGAGAAGAACAGTGTGTACACCACTGATGTATATCATACTCCTGGCCCACTACCACACAACATAGAGAAGAACAGTGTGTACAGCACTGATGTATATCATACTCCTGGACCACCACCACCACACACAACATAGAGAAGAACAGTGTGTACAGTTGTTAATGAGTGAACGTTAATACATGTATTCACTACTTTGTCACTATGGTTCTTTTCACTACCTGCATAAGCCAAGTTATCAAGCAATTTTCTGTCTCATCGTATACATGTAGGTTAACAAATATATTATTCAGAAACAATGTTCTAACTTTTATTTTTCTATTAAAGTAGTTGTAACAAATTAAACATGTTACAAATAAATACTCACAGCCGTAGAGTGCCGTAAAATAATTTTATCTTCGGATAAAATATATGTACAAGTTTATTTCTTAATACGCTATATACAACACTAACACTCCATGCACTGCACTGTAATACAATACATAAAAAACACTAATTTTATTCTCTAAAAATCATACACACTGCTGTTTTATTTCCTACACTGTTGAGTTCAGTTATTTTTCACACTACATCATGTAAAGTTATATTAGTTTAGGTACACAATTCTTATATTCTAATACGTTATAGAGTCAGTCCTGATTATAAACACTTTATAGTGGTAATTAATATTTTAGTAACACAAGGAATAGATATCTGTACAGAATTTAACCATGAGATTATGATAAAACCATATTATTTATAGTAAATGCTGTGAACAGTTAAAATTTCAAGACAATTAAAAGTATTATAAAACAAAAAACACCAGCTTTTAGGTGTACATATTAAATTCTTCTTTTGTGGAATTCTTATTTTTAAATAACCTTATCACTAACACTTTTCAGATTTGTTAAAAGTGAATATTTTACATATTGTTTACATAACCTACAATCTTCATCAGCGAGATTGCACAGAGCTATAAAGGTGAGAAATAAACATAGTATTATATATAAAACCTCTTCATCTGAATGCCTCCCGACTTCTCCATCTTCTTTATTCATCATAGCTGCCATGATTTGAAGACTAATCAGAGTACACTATGGCCATCATCAGGCCAGCTGTCCCTGAAGTTTCCACATCCATCTGGTTAAATATTGTTTTCATTCAAGAAGTCTGTAGAAAACTTTTGTTCTTCAGCTTAAAGCTATAGAAAATCAAAAATGATAAAGTTTTAATTTACCTGAAGTTTAGTTCTTCATTCGACTATTCTTTCTAATCAAATCAGAACAACTCAAAGAAGCAAAAGGTAGTTAATTTGATATCAAAAGGTGTGTCAGCTTCCACTACCTACACACACCAACTCAAAGCCACCCACTCATCAGATTAACAGAACACCATTACATGGAAACCTACATTTACTTTAGTGTGTCAAAGTTTAAAAGGAAAACACCCCTGTTTTGAATATATAAAAAACGATTATCTAGATTGAATAAATAAATCTGTTGATAATAGATGCAGATAAATACAGATGATAAATTTTGAGACTTTTTTTATGTAGGGTTTATATACA